TAAGTTCTATGGAAAGATTGTCGAGCAACGGTTCGACTTGTGCTCGCTGCGTTTCTCCACAAGTCTCGACGCGCGTGTCTGGAGGTCACTTGATTTTCTTGCGTATCCTTCCGTTTCCGCGTTCGCCGTCGGGGACCGGTCTCTCGGTTTCTGGTGGCGACGCGCGAACGCTGGCTAACTGTTATCTTTTTCGTTTAATTACTTGTTCGTTCATCAATTTCGTTTCGTTACAGGTGAGCTACTCGTGACCATCAAAACTCGAGAAGCCTACGGTGATTACTTCGCTGCGGATATTTATGCATTTCATCATCGAAACTCGAAAAATCGAATGATAATAGCTGCTGTATAAAATTTCATTGATATTCGTCTACGTGATTTATTACGATGTATCGTAAATACGTTAATATTATCGATCGTATTGTTCTTCGGTTACCAAAACGATCGTAGATCATTCGAAATAGAAAATTCAATTTGAAATTTGTTTCCCTGCGACTGAGAAACAACGTTTATCAGAGTAACACGCATGAATATCCGTAGAACGGTGATTACGTGTGACAGAGACTCGAAACTGCGGTGGTGGACGAGACAGTTTAGCAAGACAGTGCCGCTACAGACGACTCGCGCGGCGGTGATACATCGATTTCCGGTGAGATGGTGACGATCGCCGAGCGCGTTCTGCGACACGGCACAGTTCAGACAGCGAGAACGGCGAGATAAGGAGAAACAGTAGTAGAACGTTATAACGGGAAGACGAAGAATGTAGAAGAAAAGAAGAAATGCGAAAACAAGCAAAATCAAGTAATCCCCTCTCGTTACAACGACAATATATAAATGTATCGATTTATTTTTATTCGTTCGTGTAAATATATATATATATGTATGTATGTACGTGTACGTGTGTGTATATAATTGTGAACGTAAGAGAAGTGTGTGGGTTAGTACACGGAACAGAGAAACATAGAAAAAAAACGAGAAAAGAAACGGTGAAAAAGAAAAGAAAACTAAAGTCTAAGAAACAGAAAAACGACATGGACACGTGCGTGATTGTGTGACACGGTCGAGAGGTTTGTTCCTGTACGGTCCGAGGTAACGGAACAAAGTGTGAAAACCTTTGGTTAGAGCGTGATACCAACCAGTACCCCGTAAGAAATGTACCACCACGATGATAACATGTTTCGCGGGCCGACCGTTAGGCGATCGTTCGATCGGTCATCCGACCGAACGATCGGTTTCCGTTGCGATTCTTACATCAACGACTCGTTTCGATCGAATTTTCGAATGTCCTTTATTCGGAGAAGTTCTCGGGAAACCTCGGAATGTTTAATGGAAGAAACGAGCTGCGAGAGAAAGAGAAGCGGAGAAAGAAAGGGGAATGGGTTCCGATCGGAGGTCGTTAATGAGGTTCGATGTGACTTAGTTTCGATTAGAAATTAAGGTGACTCGAGAAGCTTGTTGCCACGTTGGGAAGGTTCGATCAGATGCACGACGGGACGAACGAAGTGTGGATAACGGAGGACGGGAGTGAACTGAATGGAAACACCTTGACACGAATCACGAGGGAAAAGAAATTCTGTTTCGACCTCTGTCTCCCCATAAATGGCGCTCCGATGATATCAAAATGTTTCCAATGGCAGGGCGATGTTAGTATGTTAATTTCCCTGTCGGCTGTTTCGTTCTGTTGATATTCGCGAGTGAATAGCGACGTTCTCTTGTTCACGCTACTTTGTAATCACAAAGAAATAGTAGTAGCTCTTCAAACTACAATGCTTGTAGCAACAGAAATATATTTCGAAATGAAACAAACGAACTTTCGGTAAGCCGAAATAATTGTGTAATATTTAACCCTTTCCGGAGGAAAATCCATTAAAGTATACAAAGTATACATCTGCCCTGAGCAGACGAAATTATACGCGCTAATCTACTGCTAGTTCAGTAATTATTGCACAATGTTTGCAACTTAGTATCGAGTATATGAAAGTTTCATTTCTCGAAAAGTTCGTCCGTAAACGATGAATATTCGCTATAATCTTTTGAAACATCATTCGAAGGAAAGATGAATTGATCACCGAGGATCCTTTCGCGAACGAAACAGCCAACGAAAGTGTTACCAGTGGTTCGCCCTGCCGCGGTGAATGATTAACGTGGCTCGGTCGACGGTTAATTGTTAGTCACTTCTCTCGGAACGTGCAGGCACAGAGAAATTCGCGCGTGTAGAAGGAGGAGCTACCGGCGAGCGCGGACGTACGCCCCCCGGAGAACCGGAAGTGACGCGGAGGGCCATCGAAAGAGGGCAAAAACCGAGAAGAGAGCAACGCGGTATATCCTGGTGGTGGTCTTCAGTTGGTATCGAGCAAATGCAAAAAATCAACTTGCTGCTTTTAGCGCACTTGTGCAGGTGGTGATAAGGTGGGACCAAGGCGAACCTACCTGTTGCTCCTGCAATGCCTTCTCCTTGTCGGTGGACAGGTACGTGGGGCTGAGCACCGTCCTCAGCTGCTGCTCCACCTGCATGATCTGCTGCCTCAGCTGCTGTATCTCCTGCAATTACAGACACGAGCGTCTCAGCTGTATCCTTTTCGGAACCACCGAGACGATTACCGATTCCTTCTTTCCGCGGAAATCGAGATCTCCTGCGAAATCTTGGCGAAACGAAACGACGCGTCTAACGGTTCAAACTGTATCCTGTCTTTTGTTAATTGTGAATTCTTCGACAGTTTTGGTTTATCTTCGAATTGAGTTTCAAGACTTGTTGGTATGTCTTTCGAGAACGATGGCTGTAGTAGCTGTTGGATCATTGAGAAAGTGGTCCTTGTATTTTATCGTCAAGCTGAAGTGCGAGATTTCTATTGCATTTAACTGTTATATATCTATAATAGTCATCAAGCTCTAGTGTCTAGTCAAGCTGAGATGCAAGATTTCTATTGCATCTACCTACTATATATCTATAATTCCCGTGAAGCTTTAGTCATCTAGTCAAGCTGAAATGCAAGATTTCTATTGCATCTAACTATTATATATCTATAATTCCCAAGAAGCTTTAGTCATCTAGTCAAGCTGCGATGCAAGATGTTTATTGCATCTAACTATCACACATCTATAATGCTCACCAAGCACTAGTCACCTAGTCAAGCTGAAATGCAACACTCGTTATCTTATTTCAGCTTGATTATAAAATACAAAGACCCTACATAGTCCACTAATTACTATCGCCATTGTTCTCGACGTATCAAGAAATCTCGAAACAATTCAAGTATCGATACATCGTATCCTACGCGTCCGTTCTACAAATAAATTCCACTAGCAATTTCTGAATCAGACGAATCGGTAATCGCGTCTCGAAAGAATACAGTCCAGAGAGAGAGAGAGAGAGAGAGAGAGAGTATATCCTCTACCGTCCCCTAACCTGTTGGTATTGATCGATCTGTGTGAGACAAGCCTCCAAGGACGCCGTCTGTTCCTTGACGGTGCCGTGAAGGGTGTCCAATTCGGCGAGCAGTTCGTCGACGGTCTCGCCGATTCGACTGTCCCCCCCGATACCGGAGCGGAAGTGGACCTGAAGCTTCTCCATCGATATACCGATTTTCGTTTTCTGTATCGCCACGTCGCTGAGCATTTTCTCGCGCACGCTGTGCTGATCCCTGAGCGGTTTCTTTTTGCTCTGCGGCGACTCGAGGCTCTGCCTCGCCTTCTCGATCCACGACTTCACCTCTTTCATCTTTCTCTCGCACTGCTCCCATTCCTCGCTGGTCTCTTGCAGCAGAGCGTTCTGAAACGGGAACAAGTTCGAGGATTCACCCGGTCATCTTACGCGAGCGCGTTTCCTTCGCTACGCGGCCCTAACCGGCTCGCACGACACTAACCCTTTCCAACAGCTGACCCTCGACTTGAACCTTAGCCTCCTCGGCCTCCAACAGTTTCTCGGGCAAGTCGCCCACGCTGCAGATCTGACCGATATTCTCGAGCTCTTTCCCCATCTCGCTCAGATTCCTGTTGATCTGCTTGCAGCTCTTTACGGCTGTCTGTAACCCGCCCCGGAAACGAGTTATCGGATTATTCGGCTCGCCCGCTTCTCGGGGAGACTTTCGACACTGCCGATCGTTCTAGGTGTCCAGGCTTTTACGAGTATTCAAATTATATTTATAGCGATGCTATTATGTTTCCAGTTGGTCGACGTTTTTTCCCGTTATTCGGCTTTCTATGAAATAATCTTGATTAACCCTGATCGTATGTGTTTTTATAACGAATCACACCACGATGCGACTCTCAGTCGCTCGTGAGAATCAAAGGAATGATTAAAATGTTATCGTTTTTGTTTATAGTGTCATTTTAAGAGCCCTAGAAGACTTTTGGTGATGCAATATGAAATAATCAAAGAATTTAAGTAAAAAATGCGACTCAAAGTCGCATCGTGGTCCGATTAGGGTTAATATCGTCTGTCGATGATTGCAATAGGATTCTAATATAACGATTACGATTATAATAAATTAATCTTCGATGAGGTGGACTACTATTACGATCAACGGTGTACGTGTCTCCCGAGAAAGGGGTTCCACAAAAGCGAGTCTTCAGGCCAATAAGCAGTGTCGATCTCTGCGAATCGTTGTCGTTTCCCGAATACGGAAACCCAGAGACGACATTACCTATCGGAGCACCTGACGCACAGTTTGGCCAGTGCCTTGGTCACCGAACAATCTCCCCTTTGTTCACTTGACCAGGATAGAGAAGAACGCGCGTCTTTCAGCGACTCGACCTCTGTATTCCGCTTTTAGATCCCACTGTCTTTCCCTAGCGATGCGTGTAGGGTTCAATTACCGGGAAATAAATGGCCATTTCGCTCTAGCCCCGAATCATTAGTGCGTCCCGTGATTCGTCTCGAATCATTGTCCCGCTCCAACGCGAGCCATCACAAAAGAACCATTTATCATCCCCAATTCAACGCACACGAGCTTCATCTAACAATCGAGAAACTCTGACTGCCCTTACTCGCATTTATCGTCGATACATCGAATGAAACCGCGGCAAACCGAAAATCCGAATGAACCGAGATCAAGCGACGCAACGGTCATCTATCCCGATCAAAGAACATCCCGTGAGTCCCAGCGCGTACCGAGTACTCGTGCAGCCTCTGCCTGGCCTGCACAAGGGTGCTGAGCTTGAGCGGCTCAACCAGGAACTGTCTCTTCTCCTCGGTCCAGGCCTTGACGGCCTCGTAGAGCGTCAAGAACCTCTGCCAGGCGTCGATGGTGTCCGCGACGACTTGCTTCCTCTCGTCTAGCCAGGTCCTGACTTGGTTCAGCTGTTCGGTGACGTTGTGCACGGTGCTGTCGATCAGCTGTTTCTCGGTGTCGTCCCTCGTGTTCTCGGCGATGGTGCGACCGTTCCTCGTTAATCGTTCGAGCTTGTCGGTGATCGTGCCCAGCTCGTCCTGCACCTGTTTCAGCTGCTCCTTGAGCGGGCCGGGCTCGATGGACCTGTCCTGGACCTTGAGCTCCGCCTGCCTGATCCACGCCTGGACCTCGTCCAGGTCGGTCAGGTAGTCCGAGCGGACGGTCCTCGCGCGCTTCTGCTCGCGCTGCTTCTCCTCCATGACCTGGCCGGTCGCCTCCGCGCACAGCTCAAGGCCCGTCAGGTGCTGGGCAAGATCGCTCGGGACTAGCTGCTGGCTAGCTTGGTACCGCGCCTTAGTGCTTCCTGAGAACTTCTTCGCCGCGTCGAGCAGCTCCTCGACGGTCGAGCGCAGCTCCTCCAAGGACCGCTCCGCGGCGTCCTGGTCCGGGCCGAAGACGTGCAGACTCGAGGCGCTGTCGCGCGCCTCGTTCAGACGCTTCCTCAGCTGCTCGATCTCGCGCTCGGTCCCCTCGAACGCCTCCAAGTCCTCGTCCGCCTTCTGGGATTTCTTCTGCAGGGATTCGACGAGCCTGCAAGGACCCCTTTCCTCTTATTTACCGATCCTCGCCGATTCGATGCGGATTCTGGCTTCTCTTCGCGAGCTCAGATGGCGCACGACAACGAGGAGTATCGTCGGCGGACCGGAACTTGTAAAATTATATTCCTGAGGTGCTATGATTCGGAGGATTATCGTCGTGTTTGAACAGCAGTCGCGTATGAGACGATTCATCGAGATAACGGAATTCGACTGTATTGTCGGAATTTATGGATATGCTTCTGAGAAACTGCCGAGAGCAGTCTCGGACATTGAATGTAATTTTACTCGTTCCTGCGTCGCGTCCACTAACAATACACTCGAGGGTATATATAGAGTGGTCAATGAAGTCGCATCGTATGCGTTTCCAATCTAGATTCGCCCAAAGCGCATTTAACCTCACTCTGAATTCTTTTGTAATCGTTCCAGTAATTCATATCTCCAACGCGAACTTAATCCTCAAACACCCGTAACATTTAAAACTCGAACGAATTCGCAACGATGCAACTCCTGAAACCAACTCTCCATAATCCAGCAAATATAAATTCAGCGAATCCAATTCAAAAGAACAACCCGCGACCCTCTGAACGCCCTATGTCCAAAGACAACGAAGTCGTCCCTCCACCGTCGTTCAATGAAAACATCGCGCATCGACGAACGATCGAGTCGAGCCAGCCCCGATTCGCGTACGTCCGCGTAAACGTCAACAATCAACATCATAACACAACCCGAGGAATCCGGGGACCGCGGCGACTTACGTGTCCTGCGCGCGTGCACGTGACGACGGTGAATCGCGGATAGAACGCGGAATGTTTACAGAGCCTCGGAATACCGGCGTTAGCCGTCAGCAAATCCGGTCACCGTTTCACTGACGGAAAAACGAAATTCGCCCCTTAGGCAGCATAGTTGCGGCACGTCGCGGCCAGCCGCGAAAATAGACCTCGGCATATTTCCTGTTCGGGGCGGGGGGTCGCCGATAACGCGTGCCAGACCCGCGGTCGTTCGGTTTAGGGCAGGGTTTCCAACCGGCCGCCGTGCGGCAGAATCTCGGAAAAAACGAGCACGAACGGCGAATAGCCCGAATTGATCGGGCCGGCCTTAAGGAATTGTCCGAGGCAGCGGTACGAATTTAGAATCGGAAATGCGTGTCGCTGGTTCGGCTGTGGCTGGCTTCACTCCAGCCAGAGCGGAGGACGCTTCGGCTAAAAGTAGACGTGCCGCGCGTGTGTGGACACTCGCGCGTACGTGTAACCGTGCGAACGTATCGAGAAGAACTTGTTAGAAACGAGATTATTCTTTTGCCACGGGTTACGCGGCTCTATCTTTAACCACTTCGGGCTTTCTCGCGGGGATACGCTCGCGAGGGAGCGGAGTTCATTGGTGGACAGATCGGGGTAATGTGTCCTGAATGAACGGAAAATTTCGGGTTGATCGCCGCGAATTGGCACCGGCGTTTCCATTTGTTTTGGCCGATACCAAACATTGCCTTTGATCGCTCGAAACGCGCGATCGCAGCCGTTTCGACAGCTAGGTCTATCTTTGTCTCGCTTTGGGGAATTTCAGCGAAGAAAACTGCGATTTATCCGTGAGATTGATTAGCGGGTCTACGAGGCTCGGTAGAGAGATTGAACGTCGAGCCGATTGAAGCGATAGCGACTGTTCTACGATCTTGGCTGAAGCGATGCAAGTTTAGGTGGTTCGGAAGTTGCTAGAACCGAAGGCGCGTCTATACATTGTCTGTCCAAGGTTGTATCAATCCCCTGCAAGCTTCCTTTCAGATTTCGTGGAATACAGTCGAAAGGGAACTATGTACCGAGTCCATCAAGCTAATCGGGAAGATCGATACCGTATTCGAAGCACGGTTTCCTTATTCGCCGCGGAGACTTCGCGAGGAGCGCGACCTTTCCAGCCTCGGCTTCATTGTCCTCGGCGAGATTGTAATATATTTCGCGGGAATGCACTGCCAAGTGTTTTCATAAAGATGACAGCATCGGCCGATACAGCGGAGGGATGTCGCAACCGTGCGTTCTTTCGGCGCGCACTCGCGATACACGTCGGTGCATCGTGTTTTCTGGCCAGACACCGGTGACGTCAGGATTAAACTCGCGTGGCCGATTAGTCATGATCGAGGAAAGGTTTTCGATGGCGTAAGTTATCAGAGTTGACACTCGCGTTGACGGGCGAACTTTTCAACTGTCCGGAAGAGAACGAGAACGTTAACCTACATGTTTTGCGTATGTAATAGACAAAATGCGCTGAGAAGCCAATGCAGTTCAGTCGAGAAAAATAATGTTCTTTGATACACTGATTTTCAAAATCATCGGTTTATTAATTTGACTAGAAAAGAATGTAAAGTTTTTCATTTGTCTGTCCTTTTACTTGTAACTCCTCTGAATCGTTGCAAATACACGATACTAAATCACCTTTAGTGTTTTTGCTTTTAACCGGTAATCAACTGCTAACCACTTCTCTAATTCGAAACGATCAACTTCCGACTCGAGCATCGAATGTTCAAGAATGTCCGTCAAATTCGGATGATACAACTATTCCAACAAAGTTCGCTTCGTTACATAATGTAAGAAGTTCAAGCGGCATTGCCACGTATAAAGTATCTCTATCCAACGAACGAGCAAGCGTTCGCTATCGTTAACGCAGAGAATTCCTCTTAACTGGTCAACCACTGGTGCTTCCACCTCAACGTTCATAAAATTCGATTCGCGTCGACGCGTTCCGCGAGCCTAGAGTCAAGACGCTACAGCGGGGAACGAGCTTGACTCGTTAATCCTGGCGAATTAGTCGAAGTGGAAAAATTCGGAGCGCGTGTAATCGGCGCGCATTGTGTGTCGAGGTGAACCGGAAACGGCAGCGGCGTTTCCAACGCGATGGGGATGTTCGCGGTGTCAATGTCAAGTTTCGTACGCTCCGCCGGTTTCTTTTCGCGCGGTGACATCACCGCTGCTAATAATGAACGGTGTTCAACGGGAGTGCAATCACCAGACCGGTGCAATAAATTCAAGACACGGCCGAGGTTTATGATACACGGTCCACGACGTGGCGTTCCTCGAAACGATACACCGCCTGCGGACGAAACTTCGAAATTCGACGATTCGCGCAACGAAACTCGAAGGCTACCGACGCGTCGCTAAGTAGTTCCTGCGAAATGATTTTCAATCGAGGAATCGAAATTTTCTGCGAATGAATTCTGCTTCTCTATTTATACAGTGGAATCGAAATTGAATTGAATCATTGAAAACATTTCATAACGTCGCATAATGTGAACAAAAATGTAACCAGGTTCAGCTCTATGCCGTGAAACTTTTGTCTGAAATATTTGTTTCTATCACTCGTACTTTTTTACCGTTTGAGTCCCAAGCGACAAGATGGCGCTTCACTAGTACACTGTTCAAAAGTGCCAGAATCAGATGAAGCTTATTTATTTCTTTTCCTTCTAATTATTCATTTTTATTTTTCTTATCTTTACCTCTATTTAAAATTTGTTTTTGTAAAAATAGAAAAATGGGACTGAAACGGTGAAGTTACCGAGTTTTGTCCAGAAAACGGCAATTCAGCCGCACAGTGCGCCGGTCGAGTTTATTCGCGGCCGAATGTGACTAACTTCGCCGGGATTCGCGTTAGCTTCAGCATCGGGACGTTTTATTAACCGCTTGTCCTGCGATTTCTGTCGCGATTGCGCATGGTCGAGAGAATTTATCGCGAATAGTTTGGAAAAGAAGATAATCTGATGCTTGTTCTGTGTATTTGTCGCGAATAGTTTGGAAAATAAGATAATCTGATGCTTGTTCGTTCGCTCTAGAGATTAAAGATCGATAATCGGCAAATAGGGTTCCATTTATGCGAACAATATATATGTATACTGCGTAAGTTCGTCGAATTTGCTCGAAAATGTTCATAACGAGGTTGACTCGATATTGTAGGAGTTAATCCCTTGCTATGTTTCATTTCTCTAATGAAAACTGGATAGTTAACGTGATCTTAAGATGATAAATGTGACAAGATGTTTCTAAATATTTCAGTATCTCTTAATCTCTTTCGAGCACCGAGGAATGCAGCGATGCTGCTAGAGTGATTTGTAGAGCATTGTCATTGGATGTATATAGAATTTCATTTCCTCGCGTCAAGGATTGTTTAGAGGACAGTTTCTTTAATAATGTTCAAGCGAAGCTGAAGATATTCGAGCGATGCTTCTGTATGTTAGAAATTTTCATAATATTTCACAACATGACACAATTCTTCGCCAACGGAGGCAAATCTTTATAAATATCGCACGGAATCTACAATAATCCACGAAACGAGTTGGACACGTTTAAATAAACGACGCGTAACACTTATTATAAATGACCGCGTCCCCATGGTATCTATCACCATCAACCGACTCTTCATCTAAGAAGACATCCTCGATCTACGAACGTTCCTCCATAAAAATACAATCCCAAGTTAAAAATACACCAAAGAACGTGTAGTAATTTTCAGAATACTCCTCGGCGTCGGACGATCCTTGACACAAGAATCTATTTCGAAACTCTCTACAAATAATCCTTTCCAAAACCGTTCGGATGCAAACAGGTCAATCGAACAAGTGTATAACCACGCGACATATTTTCTAACAAATATCACGTTCCCCTCCGAAGCTAGGAAAATCCAACGCGCGAGGATGGAAACGACAATGTCCACGTGTAATCAGTGCATTCCGTGAAAATCTATTCCCAAAGCAACGATCGGCAAAGTGTTATTGTCCGCGAGAGATCGCCGGCGGCAGCGCGAAGCGGAAGTCTCCGGATCCACGTGATGCAATCCTTATCCGGGCATGTGACTCGAGCCAATGTGCTCCGGCAACATAACCGCGGCAAGATCGTTCGCCCGGGTATTTCGGTAACACAGGACGGTACACGTTTTTCCCGAAAATCGAACCACAGGAGACACGTCTCGGCGAAAGATCGGCCTCGAGACGTCTCGGAAACGATCCTCACTAACTGG